CGCCTCCTGGGGGTTCAGTCGTCCTTCCCAGCCCCAGCCCTGGTTTCGTAGCCGGCCAGCAGCTGTGAAAGCTGGCCTCGGGCCCTGGGGCGACTTGCTCCAGCGCGGTGTACTGCGGCGTGGGAAGGGAGCCTCCGTCTTCTGTGCGGGTCTTCGCTTCTGGTAACGCCCCCCACCCCCCCTTCCCCCCGAATGTGCAGCGCTGGGGGGGGGCGCAGAGCGTAAACTTCTCTCGGATTCTCTCGCTGTCCCTTCAGCTGGATCGGGCCTAACCCACAGGACACGTTACTCGTCCTAGGCTGTGGTGGACTGGGGGTCGTAAACCCGAGCGAGGAATGAGGCACGGCCTTGCCCCTCAGCAGGTGCGGCTGGACAATGTTATCTGGCCTCTGCCTAACCGCCACCTGCGGTTGCAGCTGCCGTTCCTGACCTCCAGCAACTTTCTAAACACTCTCTCCCTGCTAAGAGGAAGTGGGTTGAAGTTGTTCCGAGAGAGAAAACTGCTCTTTCTCTTGTGCACTTATGCACTTTGATTTTGTTTTCTAAATAATGCTTGCTTTTCCGTCTTCCCCTTTTTCATCTTTTCCCCCTTTCACATTCACGTTCTTCCTGTGCAAAAACACTGAACAAAGATCCAGGAGCCCTACAGCAAGTTTAAACGCAGTTGCCCAAATGGCTTTTTAATGTTTAAGGTTCCCATGTACTATTAAGCATCTCAGCCAGACCACAAGTTTCATATGGCACAGATGTTAACATTGCTCCATACTGAATGACCTGGTAATATATGCTACAAACGTGGAGTGTTTCCCATTTTTTAACACAGCAAATAGCACAGCTACAAAACGCAGAAGTTTCTCCCTCTCTCTGTTAGACTAAAACAAATGCATTATTTTCCCTGTAACCCTAACTCATTTAAAAACTGAAGTACTTTCTGTGGTGTGAGTCTCATATAGACCAGGTGAGGAGAACTGACAAAGTGCTTAGCAAATAACTCATACCACCTTCACTAAACGCAGTCACATTAGGTGCTGGCGCTCATTATGTAGGTATGGTTCTAGTTACACTGGCATGTATTTTGTTAACATACACTGGGATGAAATCAATATGGGTAAATGATTTGGGAAACAGCAAGTTTTAGCATGATTAGGAAGGACAATGAAGAACGGAAGGAAGGAAGGAAAACAGTTGTATAGAAGAAAACATGGTCTTAAACCAGCTATTGACTCCTAATAGAAAAACTAGCTTGAAAAACTGACAGTACAAGTAGCATAACAGAGCTTCTTCCTTTATAATATTTCACTCTTCATCAGCTACAGTCTATTTCTTTTTTTCTTGAATTGGATTTTCACCACAAACCCTTCAGGACCAAATGGTGTCAGGCCCTTTTGTGTGTGTGTCTGTGTGTGCACGCGCAGCCACAGGTTTTGCAAGCCAGATCAGAGCTTAAGGTATAATGGCAAGATCTCACAGGTTTCATATAATGCTGCCAGCCACATGTAAATTTTAGTGTCACCAGCAGCATTACAGAGGCATAACCAGTTAGAACTCAGTATGCGATTACGCTGGGTACTCAAGGTGAACCTGAATCACTGATGGCAGAGAGAAGGGGAGTAAGAGGTAATGGAGGCAATGCAACATTTCTTCATTCCCTAATTTTTCAGGCTTTAATTTTTCATTCTTCTGCCTTAAAAAAATAACCCACAAAAGACCCACAAATTCTGCAAGCATTCAGATTATTCTATTCTGTGATGCATATGATAAAGGGATGCTCTAACAACAGCGGTGGGGAACTTACAGCTTAGGCTTTTGGTGACAAAGGGTCTTGTTTCATTGCCATGTTGGATTGCCACACACGTTACGGGAGTACTTACAACCTTCTGCAGCACCGATTTCTCCCTACTTTGCTTTCTCTTGTGAGCAGAGTCAGAAAGGGAGATAATCTTGGGTAGCTCATTGTACCAGTTGATGAAAATAAGCGGTTGAATGCCTCGGCAGTTAAATATCCTCTTCTCATTTCTAGAGATTTAGGCAAGAGGTAATGTTTTGAACTAGATCAAAAGAGGGAGGTAAGCACCCAGAAGCTGATACTGCAATAGTTAAGGCTGAAGGGGAATTTGGAATCCCATCTTAAGCTCTTTAAGTATAGCTAATGCTGAAAAGCCTGATCTGACACTCTTGAGTGGGGAATCGTTTATAGTCAATAGGAAGTAGCAGAGCACTGGTCTGCTGTAAATCTAGCTGTTGTTCAGAGGCACAGAGATGTATCTTCGCTCATTTTTGATACGCATTCTAGCATCTTGTGTTTAAGGCAGGGTTTTAAACAATTTTTAAAACCAAGGAATTGCAGAAGCATTCATCTGGATGTATGAAACTGAAGTTCAATTCCTTCCTTTGCTTGGGGGATGCAGATCACATCTTCTGCATCACGCTGAAATGTTCTAATAATAGGAGCTCTTTTTAAAGAGTCCTTGGATGAGAGTTGTTGGATGTTAATTGACAGCAATTTCTTGTCATTCCAAAGTGGTTAATTATTGTTGTGCCCAGCAGCCTACATATATACATGCTATTTAGACATTTGTATCAAGTATGTATGTTCTTGTACAGAGTGAAATTGAATGCAAATGTTGGTTAAAAAGATTCCTCACTACTGAGTCACCAAAGAGTGAGAACTTTACCCCTTGTTGGGGTAAGCAGCCAGGTACAGAACGTGAAACTTGAGCCAAAACCCACATGTATGCATTTATGAAAGTATAAAGTAAAACATGATATATTTCAGTGTAGAAAAATGGCACAACTGTCTCCCAAATGAAATCAATTTAGCCTTTCACTCTGAAACTGATCTGTCTCATCCACCTGAGGATTTTGAAGGAGAGATTGGCTCTAAATGCTATCGTGGTCTACTGAGAAGCATTTTCTTTCTAATAGATGCAACTTCAGATGTAATACAGACAGAAAACAGAATCCTAGTGGTCGCAGTTGATAAAAAGAGTATAGCAAATCTGCTGGAGAAAAAAGGAACTTTTCCACTTTTGTCTTAGGGTACATAGATTTTTAGTGTGATTGCCTGTTTACTAGTACTGTCTGTTTTGGGAGTTGTGTGTAAATACCTTTATTTGCCTTTTACCTTGACCTGGTTTGAATGATGAGTAACCAGAAAACAGTTTTACTCAGAAACATGGCACTCAGAAGTCTTACCAGTTACCTCATTCCCTATCAAATTCTTTAGTGTTCCCAGAGAGGAAACATGAGTGAGCCTCCATTGAAGCAGCACTGAAACTAGGGGTTTGCAGAAGAGTCTTTGGTGGTCGGTGGCAATGGGTCCTTGGCATGCAGCAGGACTTTGGGAAGAAAGGTTAAGCCTAGAAGGTCACCGGTCAGTTTGGGGTGGTGGAGTAGAGAGCGTTCTCTGTTCTACAAAAATTTGGCACCCAAAAAAGATTTTTTGGGATTATTTCAATCATAAAGAGGGGGCAGGTTCTTGTTTTCTGGTAGTCAGAATGTTCCATGGGGAGTGTTACTTACAATTTTTATCCAATGACTGCATTGTATATCAGGGGCCTGCTTATAGGCGCCTTCTGAGGGCAGTAGCTACTGCTGGGCAGTATTTTCACAGAAGTGAGCCCAAATGACCTCCAGCAGGGGAACTGAATGTCTTGTATGTTCTTGATAACTGCTCTGCTTGCTAGCATATTGTGTAATTGAGTGAACATTGCCTCCGTTTGTCTGTGAAAAAAGTGGGAGCTGCTTCCGCATTTTAGGGGGACCCCCGTCAAACAGCACGTCAGGGGAGTGCACTAAGGGTACATACTGAGTGGAGTCCCTGGAGGATTTCAAATGGACAAGTCTTGATCTCTGGGACAGAAAGGTGATGCACGGGTTTATGAACATACATCTAGTACAGTAACATAGAAGGAACATGCGGATACAGATACACTGAGGACTCAGAAAATAGTAAGAACAAGAATGGTTTGTCTGGATAATAACTGTGGCACTGGGAAGCCTTAGCAACTGCCTAATTCCCTAGGACACGGAAAAGATTTCTGGTTTTCAAATGCAGACTTGAAATTACTTACCGCTTTATCTTCAATAGCTCTGCTAAGTATTACTTTTGAGTTCAACTAGGTATTTTTTTCAAAAGTCCTTTTAATGGAGATACGCTTAGTGGTGTTCAAAAAACCAGAGGAACAAATTAATCATTGGTAACAGGTAGATGTTTTTTTCTTCTTCCTTGTTCCTCTCACTCAAAGCTTCTCTTTTTACCAAGATGACAATTTCAATATCAAAGTCATCTTTTAATGTTTTTACAGTGACTTTTAGAGAATAGAGTTTCCCACTTCTTTTGCCAAACAGTATACACGTCCTTTGCAAACTGTCGTCCAGAATTTTTTCATTAACAGTAAGAGCTTGCGAGAGCCTGGGCCTCAGCTGGTTTCTGCCACCTGGTGGATACATGGAGTCACTACCTCAGTGCTTCTAATTTCCACTAATGCTTAGTAATCAATATTCTAAATAACTAAGCAAGTATTACAGAATCTCAGGATGGTTGAGGTTGGCAGGGACATCTGGAGGTCATCTGGTCCAACCCCCCTGCTCAAGCAGGGCCACCTGCAGCCAGTTGCCCAGGACCATGTCCATGTGGCTTTTGAACATCTCCAAGGAGGGAGACTCCACAACCTCCCTGGGCAACCGGTGCCAGTGCTCGTCACCCTCACAGCGAAAAAAAATTTTCCTGGTGTTCAGAGGGAACCACACGTGTTTCAGTTTGTGCCCGTTACCTCTGGTCCTGTCACTGGGCAACACTGAGAAAAGCCTGGTTCCATCCTCTTTGCACCCTCCCTTCAGGCATTTATACACATTGATAAGATCCCCCTGAGCCTTTTCTTCTCTAGGCTGAACAGTCCCAGCTTTTGCTTGTAGGAGAGATGCTCCAGTCCCTTCATCATCTTCGTGGCCCTTTCTTGGACTCTCTCCAGTATGTCCATGTCTCTCTTGTGCTGGAGAGCCCAGCACTGGACACAGCACTCCAGGTTTGGCCTCACTGGTGCTGAGTAGAGGGGAAAGATCACCTCTTCGACCTGCTGGCAATGCTCCTCCTTATGCAGCCCAGGATACTATCAGCCTTCTTTGCCACAGGGGCACATCACTGGCTCATGGTCAACCTGGTGTCCACCAGGACCCTCAGGTCCTTTTCTGCCAAACTGGGTGAGCCCCCAGCATACACTGGTGCATGGGGTTGTTCCTCCCCAGGTGCAGGACTTTGCAGTTCCCCTTGTTGAACTTCATAAGGTACTTGTACAGAGTACTTCATGAGTACTTTTACAGAGGTTCTGTTTAAGAAAGTGTGAGATCGATTGAAGCTTTTCATAGGAAAAAAGCTTTTTACATTTGGACACTTAGTAAAAACATCTCCTTCTCTTTTACATGTATTTTACTGGCTGATTGACAGCATCTAATGTTGGTGAATATTTGACCCATGCAGGTTTATAGAAATGGACTGGCTGATTACACCATGCACATTTGTTCCATATTAACATATGCACCAAATTTTTTTTGTTTTATTTCTGTTTTGACAGTTGCACTGATTTAGAGTATAACCACAATTCTAGTCCAGTGTAGAGCTGAAATCAAGGGGCATATCTTGTGTGATAGCATGCAGTAAAAATAAACGATCAATAGGCCCTTAGGGATGCTCAGCCTTTAGCAGTTCATTCCTTGCTGGAGTCAACCATTAAACACAGATCAAGCTTGCTGCTGAAGACTTGGTGGACACAACTGGTCATGGTTGGGATGATTCATCAAATCATCATTCTCCAGCTTGTTGACTATTCTATCTCAAGATATACTCAATTTTCAGAAAATGAGTTTTAACCTTTAATTGTACACAAATTCATGTAGGGTAGAAACAGAACCTTGGATCTATTTTGTTTATTTAGCCCTTCTTTATATTTTTGAAGTTAAAAGACAGGTTGCAGGGAAAGAACTGTCCAACCTACTGGAAATGTATGATGGGTATTTTTTATGAGACCCAGAACTGACAAAAGCTAGTTATAGGGGTTTTTTTGCCATGTGGCTGACTAAGAGTACTGGATAAAAGCTATCTGCATATTTTAAAAGTCTCTCTCCTATTTTTCTGGTGTCCAGACTTGTTATCCTTTTGTTGAAGTTGAAGTCCATGGACTTGTTATCCTTTTCTCCAGTTGAAGCAATTACCTTGGGTCTGTCCATGAAAGACCTTCTTTTAAACCTCTGCCCTCTGACAAAGTTCTCAGGTGTGTTCAGACCATCAGGCACTCATTGTTACTGTGTAAGACTTCTTCCTGTTCAGAAACCAGTCAAAAAAATGTACTTGGGTCTTGCATGTTGCAGGAACATGAGTTTGCTTTCAAACGTTTAAAAGAAGAATCAGACCAGCCTTCACACACTTTGTTTTTGAGGGGGGAGTTAAATCCCCAGGAGGAACTAAAAGAATTTGCCTGTGTAGTGATTCAGAGCTGTCTCGCTTCTTTCTGTTTATCATCAAGCGTTTGATACTTGTTTTGTATCGTATCTCCAAAGGATTAAGCGGCTTCCTGTTGCTGCATAATGACTTGATCCCTATTTGATGCTGGATGAGAACAAGAGTTGGTATTTCAGGTCAGAATGCTCCAGAATGAGATTATTTTATGGAACAAATTATAATTTAAGGATTAAACAATCCTTCAACAATTCTTTTATCATGACAAGTATGCGATGCCCGTTTTTCAGATACAAAGCACATCCAAGTTAAATACAGATTGGACTGCTTGTGGTTTGTTAACACAGGAGGGACACATCCAAAGCCATATAGGGAAACAACGGGAAAAGCTAAAAACAGAAGGCAAAACTTACAAACTTGCATCAGGTCACGATCATCTCCCTAGACATAAGCTCTGGAAGATACAGGTATACCTAGAAGTGAGAATCATGAAAAGCTCAATTCTCTGGCTGTCACTGAAGTTTTATGCAAGAAACTTCAGCTTTATCTGCTAGCATGCCGAATACCCGCTATTCACTGTCAGAGGGATTGTGGCAGCAAAAGTGATACTATTTAAAGAAATAAGAGGAGGAGCTACTTTTTCTCAATCAAGCTTCTGAAACAGCATTTAAAAAGGAGAAAGCGTGTAAGACAAACTGCAATGGAGCAAGCTCTGAACAACTTGGTATTTAAACAAGTACATTTTCCTTTTTATTTCATAAGAAGTTTACTGTTGAAAAAATGGTATGTATTAAAGCAAACACATTATACACATAGATTAAACATCAGATAGCAAAACCTTACGGAATGAGCACTACTGGTTGTATTGTGTAGGGTCTACAATCAAAGATATACTTAAAAACCCTCAAGAATTAATGTACTTTCAAGGTAAATTAGGCACAAAATTTAGCTTGTAACTAGCTCTGCAAGCATCTCACTGTGATTTCACTGTTACAAAGTATTACAAGTGATCAAAACCATAAGCTGACTTTTTAAATTTTTAAAATTTTATTCATACTATGTGCTGAAATAGTACAAATGTATACAACACTCCACCTTTGTTAAAAAAGCATGTACAATAGGGACTATAAAGTAGAATCAAAGGGATAAACAGGAGATTACCCCTTTATTTGGGCTCAGAATTAATATGACATAAATCTATGGCTTTGCTTTGTGGACACATTTGAAATTAAGTCAGTCAGTCCTACAAATGTGGGGAAGAAACAGGAAGATATTTTTAATGAATATGAGCTACAATAGCAGTATTTTAAAGGAACGTTATTAGTAAGGAAACTAGCTGGTATCTGACATATATGCCTCCCTCAGCTTTCTGAATAGGATGCAAGATACAATGTGAGATGTTAAAGAATGAGAGATTGTCTCACAAAAAAAAAAAAGGAAAAAAGACAATCCAAGGAGCAAAAAACCTTTGAGTGATTTGCTGCGAGGTTTTAGCTTAGATGAGGTTTTAGCTTAGGAAGAATTACTGATTTCCAAAAAATGAGAGGGCAACAGCAAGTCTGTGGCCCATAATAAAATCTTACTTCCCAGAAAACATAGGGATCTTCTAAGTATGCATATTAGAAAAGTGTTTGATTAAAATACCAGATTTTTTTTTATCTTCTGTTAGCAAAATGTATTGCTGGAAGTTGTCCTTTTTTGCTTGTTTAAAACAAAACTCATTATGATTGCCACAGAACTACAAGGAACTGCATACTTTCTAGGGGCACATTTTTACTGCATCATACAGGAATTGCTTAATAGGTAAAAATAAACATTTTAAAGTCTTAATGCTGTTTTTGATTAGCAGAAACAGAAAAAGGAATGCACTGAAGCAAGATGATAACGAAGTGTATCATGCAGTATTTTGGCTTAAGGTATAGAGTATTTCAAACCAATGATGTGACTGGAGGGTGGGGTGCTTAATGCGTTACATTCACATGACATCATTTAGAATTAAAATTGTATATGGAGGCAAAACGTGTGGAAATGTGAAAAATACTGGGATGCCTAACAAAAGCGTGCCAGATGGGTTATTGTTTCTAGCATGCAGAGCTAATGCTTGAAGGCCTGTCACAGCAGTATGAACTACTGCTACTTCTAGTTCTTTACATTACTGCTTTGTTTATGCTGGCTGTGGTCTGGTCACGGTCAGCAAGTGCTGTATGGCATTAGGAAGTTAACCCACAATCTCTGCAGGTTCAGTGACCAACTTAGATCCATCCCATGCTGTCTTGAACTGTTCAGGAACCGGAAATTCTTTCTGGTAAGAAACAAAAGCAACAATGATGGTTAAATAAACAGTGGATACCTCATGAAAACTGGTGGAATACTGTTAGTGCTACATGACTGGGAAAGCATTGATGGCTCAGACATGCCAGGATTAAAGAGAAGCCTTCTTCATTACCCTAGGAAGCTATTTTACAATGCCACACAGGAAAAATCCTTATTGCTACCCAGTTTCAAATAGCCTTGCTACGGTACTGCTTTGCAATAATCCCTCTCACACCATTATTTGGAACAACTAAGTAAATAAGCCTCACGTCAGAAATGACTTTAGATTCCATCAGTGTCTGGGTTGGAAGACAGTAGAAAGGATTTAGATGTGGAGATTTAGCAAGGACACCAACTTTAAAGACAAAATTGATATTACAATATGGAAGAACAAAATTTAAAAAAAAGCCTGTCATTTCAAGTGTGATACACTTCAAAAGACTCAGCATCTCTTGTGGGGTACACAAAACGAAGCAGAACATCAAAGAAAGTCTCCTCCCGTTCCATATATTTGGTGAAAGGATGGGAGATGTCGATGGGTCTTTCTCTGTTTCCAGAAAACAAAAAAAGATGTGAAAAGAAGGGTTCATTCAGACCTCATGTAGGAGTTTTGATAGCCAGTAATTTCAAATGATACGGTGATTTGAGGTGAGACTGATCAAAAGGACAAATTTTTTTTTTTTTTAAGAAATAGGTGAATATGCACCCCCTGAAAATCATTCCCTTTTTAGTTATCTGAAGCTGGGTGTCCAGCGGTCACTTTTGGAAATATGGAGTATGAGAATTCTCTTGTTGCATACTTTCTTTTATAAAGCCTAAACCCCTCTACCATACAAAATTCCAGCCCAAAAGATTTACGAGAAATTTTAAGTTCTCTCTGTTGTCATTTAGTGCGATTTCAACACTGCTCTGTTGGGGAAATTAGGATACTGTTACGAGTTATGCTTTGCCTGCCATGATCCCTTGCTACTATGTGAAGTGACAGAGCATGACTTTACTAGAAATGTCGGTGGGCATAGTATGAAAATCTTACTAGAACAGAAAAAGAGACAGGAAAACTCACATTTAAATGGCTTTTAAGGACATATGTTGAAAATACGAGCAAGTACTACAGATGTAACCCATGCACCAACAACTTTAGAAAAAACAAGTATATTATACTGTATTATTTCATCTGTAGTAGTATTATATTTATCTTAGTTTTATCATCATCATCTTCAGGCTTGAGTGCTCTTGTGTGAAGTGAGTTTCTTTGGGAGATTAAGTTTAGATATCAAAAAAGAAAATTAAAAGGACAGGAGACAAAGCTATTATCTATCAAAATGGAAAGAAATTACGTCATGTCTGGTTTTTGAAATTACTTTGTGCCCCAGAAAATAAGGAGTTCTTTCTGCACTGATAGCTGAGATATCAGTACATAGAAATTCAACTGTTTTGGATCATATTTTGGTGATGTAATATGTGTGGTATGTTAGTTTCTTTCCTAGCAGTTTAAACGCTATTAGCTACCAAGACTAGTGGGGAGGGGGGAGGAAAGCTTTAAAAATATCTCACTCACATAATCACCATCTTGGGGGATGAGGATGTTCATCTCAGATGACTTGGCACTCACAATCTCACAATCTAATGATTCCTCACTGAGGTAGATGTGGCAGCCTTCTGTTTTGTTAATAGAAATGGTTGGCACTTTTCCCATCACCTGCAAAATAAAATCTACTTAATATCAAATCTTGAAATGCACACAAAGATGCTGCTAATGAAATCCTCTTTGCCTGCCAGGTCTAATTTTGGCCACCAACATCTGATCTGCATGTCAGCTGCCTGCATGATGCTTATATTTGATTTGTGAGATACTGTCAAAATTCTTGGTGGATAACAAAGATCTATATACGACAGCAAACTTGTAATATACAGCAAGCTTTTAATATACAGTTTGATGAAAATGCTTCCCTGATTCTAATTTCAGTGACACTTTTCTGCTGATATTCAGGCAGTGTTCACCTCGTTAATCAGTGAGAGCTGGTCAAGAAATCAGACATGTCAACTCCAGCCCAGTATGGGCAAATGAAAGATCCCAGCACACAGTAGTACTCAACAAGTGATTTACAATACATTCTGAAGACGTCAAAGCTCTTCCAGGTTTTACAGCACACAACAGGAAAGGGGTTTTATCCCTTTCAGGCAAGCTACAGTTCTAAAAAAGTACTGCGATCAATTTAATTAAAACTCGAAAGGTATTTCTTATGTCACTTTAAAAGCAAGCGCAAGGTTTACTTGAGGGGAGAAAGGGTTATCTTGTTTACAATTCTGCAGGTTAAAAGATTTATTCATGGCTAACTGGCTGAATCACTGGTTGTCAGTAAAAATTCCTCCTTCTCTCTAGCAGGGACAGCAATATACTCTGGACAGTGCATCAAAAGGGCAGAGGTTATTCTGAGCCATAAAACAGTTAACAGCGTGTGATAGATAGATACTTGTTAATGAAAGAGTGCCTCCCATCATTCAAGTTAAGAATATATTTTCAGCTTCAGTTCCTTAAATGTGACGGCAAACAAAGAAGAAGTGGTCTGTCCTCTTGCATTCCACCCTGACCCTGAAGTCTGATCTGTGTAGTGGATCAATGCATCTTAAACTGATCTTTCTTTTCTTCAGTGGGTTCTTGTGCAATAGAGAACAAAAGGAGGGTGTGTTTGATAAGTTTTGCAAACATCTGGCAAAAAAAGAAATACCACCGAGAGAAAGGAGAGCCAAGCAATATGGCAGTGAAGTAACTATTTATAACAAAATCTGTAGGATTAATTTAGTGACACTTGTTGCATTAACATATCCTGTATTTGGAAATTATAAGCTCAGGTCTTCAAAATACTGAGAAAATTGAGGTGCTCAGCACTTGGCATACTCAAACCCTGCAGAAGCTGTCTGATTCAAGCAGCATATAGCCAGACTCTATCTTCTTAAGTGGAACTCCACTCTGATCCATGGCATAGGAGCCTTATGCAATATTCAGAGGACCTGCTTAATCAAAAGAATCTTGATTCTTAGAAAACATATTTCGAGTATTAACAAGCTGTGGTTTCACTATTCGTTACACATGAACTTTTCAGCTTTTATGACTAGTTCTAGAGGTATCGATAAAAATCACATAGTTATTTAAAAAAACCTACTCAAATAAATGCCTGGGATCTTTTTCTGTAATGAACTGTCTCTGCCATAAGAAGACATGTAGTGATCATGAATAAAACTCCTTCTTACGGTTCAGAAGATGATGCACAGCTGGTAGCAGTGTCAGTCACTTGCTTGAGGTTCAAAATACAAAAAAAGCATCCTGCTATTATTCCCTGTGGTGTAGACAGGATTGTCTACATTTAATGTCATGCAGCAGGTGCAGCCTTTTAAGCAAAAGACCTCACCTTGCTTGAAGACTGGCAGTTTGGTATAATTTAATTAGCATTTAATTTCTTTTTCACTTAAAATAATACATCCTAAAGTCCTTTCTTGAGACTAGGTCGTGTTATGTTGGACACAACCCAGTACCAGAGCACGTATAGTTAGCCCTCTTTGGAACGGGATGAATGAAGTGCTGTAAGTGTCAGGCAGACTGTATTTTGAAGGGGGCAAGTGTCCCCAGTAAAGAGGGCAATATATGGATTTAAATTACATAAATTTTCTTTTCACAAGAACCACAGGAAGGTGATCTCTCATGAAGCTTTGCTTACTGGTTTTCAAAGATAAAACCAGTAGCGGCTCATAGCCCGTTTGTAGGCAACTGACTACATTACTTACTCATGTAATGTGTCACGTTGCTGGCAGGGGAGATTTTTGAAATCCTGGCACCTACTTTCACCTTATGTCATTTAGTTGTCCTTTGACAGTCTACTTGAACATTTCCATTGAGAAACTAAGAAAAAAAAAGAAATAACCATCTTCTGGGCTTAGAAATCAATTAGCTAACTGCCAGAATTTGTTCCATAAGCACCGCTGAACTTTCAAGTCCCAGAAACTGTTTACCACGAAAGCGAGAAAATTAAGGCCAGAAGTAATAGTTGTTACAGTGTACAGATCTCTCAGCTTCACTGGAACCAGAAGGGACTGGGCTAAGGGACGTTTGTTCAGTGACACTCAATAGTTTTCCCAGGCATTTTCTAAACACATCAGCAGAATTTAGTGCATATAAAGATACATTTGGACGCATCAATCTCTTATTTTTGTTGTGCTCCTGTGAGTTTTTAAAATCTCTTGTAGCTACATGTTGGGCTTTTTTTTTCCCTGCTTATTCTCTGTCTGTCTTTGTTTTTCAAATAGGTATTTACCTGAATCTGAATATCCCTGGAATTGATCACTTCCACGATTCCCACAACGTTGTCAAACACAAGGCCAAACTTTTTACAGTTGTCTAAAATAAAAGCAATCATAAATAAGAAAGGCAAGATAAAAGCAAATATATGCACACCTGCTACATTAACTATGGAAAATTCCCAGTCTTGCACTGCATAGCTGAGCAGCTTTACTCATGTGATCAATTGATTAAAGGGAATGGAATGATTCAGATGCATTATTAATCACATAAGTCAGTTTTTTCAAGGTTGGCATTTAAAGCCCAGCTGAGCTATCCACTCACCAATAGTAATTGAATTGATTTTTCCTTTTATCTGAAGCGTGGATTTGTTACACTTAAAAATGTAGGCCACTTGCTTGAGTTCAGTGTTGTTAATGACCAGGTCATTCTTATCCTCTTGATATTCCTGTTTCAAAAGAAAGTTTATTTAATTGGTTGTCTTTAACTAGCTAACAGTCAGACAGAGTTTAGTACAACTTATCCTTGAGTAATTGCATCTTCAGTTACAACAGAGCAATATCCTTCCTGTGGCTTAAAAATCTAATCTGCTTGGGGATCGGATATTTCACCTAATTCACCGTTAGATGACGTGTGTATATTTTAGAGCTGCAGAACTGAAGAACTTAGCGTAGACCATGACAAGACCCATTAATTTTGTAGCAGAGACATTATGCTCAGAACAATTTAAAAATGCACTCACAAAAATGTTGCTTGGCTCCCACCCAATTTAGACCTGCACCTTGAAGAACAGAGCAAGTTTTTATTCCCCCAAATGCTATATATACGGGTCTGTACAGTGCGTTACGAACAGGTGCAGGCATTACCGTATACAATAAGGATTAAAGGTGAAGAAATTTCCTTTCATTGTGAAGCATGAAGGAACATTTACACTCCATGGACGTCAAGGAAAGACTAGGGATCCACAAGGAGAGTTCTAGGGACTGTAACCCTAAGGCAGCATAGTGCAAGCAAACGGTGACTGCACCTTCTGCAAGCGCAACTCCACAGTAATGACTGTATATAACCTTCTGCATGACTCAACTGCATATTGTTTCTTCCGTCTTTTAACCAACAGAGTCATGTGAATTTTCACTCATAGAGTCTTTGGTATATGCCTACATAAATTAGCTCCCAAACTTGAAACAAATCTATCTTCTCCACCTGTAGACTGAGAAAAGGAAAACACTTCTTTATGTTTAAGCACGGGGGATGTCCTTGCATGGTGATGAAAAATAAATGTGTAATTCCGTTGGTTAACGAAGCTGGAGAAGGTGCTCTGTGATAATCTTGTTATCTCTCACTTGCATGAGTGGCCTGCAAGAAGGGATTTTAACTGGAGTTCTCCGCTGGCCTTGTTTCTGGAGGGCTGTCTGATTTTGCAAGGAGTTCATATGCTGATTCTGACATTCTCCAGTTCAGACAAATTAGAATATGATTCTCAGAGACAAAATAATTAACTTTAAATGCTACAGAATAGGAAAAAGTAAACTGCAGCCAGGCAGAGCAGTGCAAGGATCAGCCCATTTTAGTTGCAATTTTGATTTGTTGCGCCTTGATCACAGACAGCCTTTTGCAAGACGTTCAGTGCTCTACCCGGTTTGCAGTGTGCAGGGTGCAATTCAGAGGTGCGACTGGAACTCACCACTCTCCACTTCTTTCCCTCTAGCTCCAAGACAGGGGCATGGCTGGGCTGCGGGGAGTTCTTGGGAGAGGTGGGGCTTGGAGTATGGCTTTTTGTCGGAGAACGAACAGAGGGACATTGGGCACGTAGGCTGGGATTCTTGTGAGTCTTCTGGTCGTCAGAGACATGTCGAAGCCCTAAAAAAAAAAAAAGGGTGTTTATGAAAGTGAGTCTGTTTTCCAGCTCTAAGGGTGCTCATATTTAAGCAGGAAAGGTTCATTTTTTAATTGTATTATATTATTCTGTGAATTTACATTTTTTAGTTCCTCAAGATTTGCCTGAGTAGCCACCTAAAATGTAACTGCCCAAGTATTTTTAGCTGTTCATATAAAAACTCTTTTACTGTGGATGGGCTATCTCAATATCTTTAACAGGAAATGCTGCAATGTCTTCTAGGCCCTCTCTGTCTGTAGCAAGCTCTGAGAGCTTGTTATATTGTATGTTTCCATCCGTGAAAATGAGATTCTTTTTCTAATTTATGACAATATTTGACCTATCCATGCAGCATTAAAGGCAGGTATATCAACTGTATGTATTTAAACTCACAGCCATCCACTTCAATTACAACTGCCCAGTATTAATACAAAAGCTTTGCTATTGTACTCCACGCTGATCTGTGAGCCGTACCGTTTCATCGAACATGTAACACATTTGACACAGGCAGGTACACTGAATGTGAATCAGAAAGGGGGATAAATTTTTATTGCCATTGCAACTTACAGGTTCACCAGCGACTGGGGATTAAAGATGTCTGGCTTGGCTGCCTTAAAATTAAAAGGATACCTCTAAATAAATGGTGTGATTTTTAGGTATGCTGAACGTATTTGGGTGCTGTTGCTTCTAAAGGAGGTTTTGGTATGCCATCTCATCCATCAGACACACTGCAAGCATCAGAAAGTTCTGAGCTGCTTAAATCTAACTTAAAAATGCGGTGGAAGTTAGGTTAATGCATATAGCAGCTCTTGATGTGGTTTGACTCATGGACCAAAAATTTATTTCTTTTCTCCTGACCTTTGGTAATTGCCTCTCCCTGGTTAAGCTGTGCAAATAGGGCTGAACGAGATGCAGTTCCTTCATCCTTGACGGTTTCTGTGTCAAAGATGGGGGGAGGTCCGGGTGGTGGCGGCGGTGGTGGCGGTGGCGGGGAGAGGCATGGCCCACTTGTTAGAACAGATCGCATAGACATGGGTGATGCAACAGGACCCTGTTTGAGATAGAAGGAAATTATTTTATGTACGGTGTTTCAAGGAAAATTGCATTATGATAACTCTCATTTATTAACATTCTTGAATGCATGAGTTTGAATGACTCTAGGCAGCCACAAGGCTCAGATGAATTTCTGGCACCATAATCGAGCTTAATACTATGAATCTTCCCCAGCATCAAAGCAGGCAGGGCTGGAAAGACTGACAGTCTGCAGCGCTACCTTCCTGCAGAACTACTCCACCTAAAATATTTCTCTCAAATGTTTGCCAAGACTGATGTTAAAAATCTTTAATAGTAAAGTTTCTGTAATTTATTCCAGTGTTTACTTACATACAAGGGAAATTGCCTACTTACATACAAGGGAAATTGCCTCCTTTTTTGCAGATACCAAATTCAGTTAGCCACAGATTGGTGTGCATTCAGAAACATACAGAAAATGTTTTGATCTAGCACAAATAACTGGCAGGGTCCCGAACTGTCAGTTATACACATGCAACGTGCTAAATTGTATGCAAGATGTAAAATGCTATTCTGCAGACTGTTCAAGTAATCTGCAAAGATTCAAATACAGCAGAAAAAGATTCAAATACAGCAGAATGTAACACTATGGTGATACAGGTCTTTTCTTTCTGAAATTCAGTATTTGAGGGTTTAGTTCAATTTCTCAAATTCTTTTTTCTTTTTTTTCAATTGCAGGAGATCACATCACACAAGTTATGAGGGGTGGGGCCTTGGTAAAGTAAGTAATCTGGTCTTTCAGTTTGCATAATCAAAAGTACATGTTTTGGTCTGAATTATAATGCTTACATAGAATATTATCAAATGAACAGAAAATATTAATAATGATCTAATTAAAATTTTATGCATCCTAGTAATAGAATCTGAGAAACTGAAAATTACTTTTTCTGTCTTGCCACTGAGTGTCACTCTGATGCCACCTCTCTGCAGCAGAGCCAAGACTGTTTTAAAAGAACCGCTGTGAAAAATTAGATTGGTTCTGATGAATTTAGCTAGCTATGCGGGCATTGTGCACTGTACCAGTACATATTTAATAGGTGGGGAGATACAATGTGAAAATGGCAGAGACTTACAGAGTCACAGCTGCTCTAATTGGCTACCTTTGTTAAGAGAGACAGGTTGTTAGAAGTGCATCCCTGGTAATCAATACTGGAAACAGATATTGCTTAGCTGGACCCAGAGGATACTTTTAACCATTTATGATGCCACTCCTTTCTGCTTCCCACTAAACTGAAAAAGCAAAGTATCCATCTGGTTCATGTATCTTACATGAGTGAAAACCATAGCTATTTTTTAAAAAGTAAACTTGTTCTGGCCTGTAATCCCAAACTGATAATGGGAAAGGGGCTGGTTTTTTTTTTTTTTTTTTCACTCTTCAGGCATACTTTTTTAAAAAAAAAAAAGAAGCCTGGCACATTTGAGGAAGTAACTGCATTGAACCCTCTTAGTCATTATGACCCCAATGAGACTAGCATGGAAAGGGAATAATATCAGTTAACCTCTTAATGTACACCCTCTATTGGCACGTGCGTCTTCAGCATATAAGTACTGTTGCACTTGGAGGAGCTGTTTATGGAATATGTTAGTGACGAATACATAGCAAGATCCTTTGTCGCATTAGTGACATTAAAACTGCATTGCACAAAAAAGACTGTTGAATCCCTGGTGCTTGGATGAGTAATGAAAGTGATGTGGTGGTACAGTTTGATTGTTTCTGAAAGCACCCAAGACCTCTTAAGGGAATGAGCTCTCTTCTATGCCATTAAATCTTTTTGATCAAATGTAAACAAATGAGAAGAATCCCCTTTTGGAACTGATTATCATTTATTGTCAAGATATACCGGAACTGATGTGGATGGCTTTTAGAGACATTTCATTGTTGCATGGATACATATAACTCAGAGCGTTTCTGCTTACATACTTTGTAGTTACAGGGTATTGTTTTAGGTTGGGGACAACTTCTTCACTGGGCCCTCAATTTACAGTGCCTGTCTTCCTGCCTCTGATAATGCCAGTAATGCTACCTGCAGCAGAGTCAGCACAACTGTGAATTATTATAATTAAAAAAATGAATGTAAGTGGATTTAGTGGCACAATCAGTTGTTGCTGCCTGAGGTGCAATAGAGATCTTCCCTATCTGTTGCCTGCAACCATAGCAACTGAATCCACTATGTCCTGGTTATCCAGAATTATGAACATTGCAGTTGCAGTGCTTTAAAAAGCACTCAGATACCCAGAAATGGCACTCACCGCTCACAGTGCAATGTGAACGTGCAGGTATGAATTATGTGTGCTTTATGGGAGGAGATTAATAGTAGTAGTGGTAGTGGTTAATAACTTGTAGTCTGAGATAAAAATCTGATTTCCTAAATTCCAGATTGACACCTGATTTCCCAAACATACCTTATTGTTTCCACCTGCATAAATACAGTGCTGTGATTTTCCAGAAACTTGTGTGTGTAAGAAAGACACATGTTCATTTGGAATTAACACCCATTAAATTCTGCAAAGGCTGAAAAGATGCATTAGAGAAAAAAAAAGAAGACACAGAAGTTATCTGGGTATTTTGCCTGCAACACAGAGTGGTGGGTGACTCTGCCAGTCTCTTTGCTTAAAGTGTCAAGTCGAAGGCCATCACAGATCATGCAGGAGACTCCAGGCTCAAATGATGCTGCTGAGTAGTGCATCAAAGGCAGTTTCTCAAATGGCAACAGAAGTATGGGAATGTCTGTGTAACCGAAGTGGAAGCAAAACTCAGAGGGATTTATCTGTGGAAGCAGATGATCCCTCTCCCAGAACTCTGAAAGAACTATCTTGTGAAACTACAGACAAAAATGCAGGATTTAAAAAACATCAATCACGTTTACACATGGTTTTGTATGACAGGAGAATGTCTTATTTGCTTTTCAAGGAAGAACAGAGGTAGGAAAGGATCTGGGAAACTAGGACATCCTTCCCTTCTAGAGCAGTACTGATGAAAAGACAAGTCTAGTCAAAAATCTCAGTCCTTGACCTGAGGAGTCATTCTAGTCCTTTGAGTGGGTTTCAAGAGTAGGAAAAAAAAAAATCCCTTGCACTCATTCTGCCTATCTGCCTCCTCTTGTCTTTACAAGCCTGGTCCCTCCACCAAAGTCAGTGGCTATCTCCACTGAGCTCAAAAGATGATGAGTTAGATCTAATTAAGAACACAGGAGTTGTCACAAAGTCTCAGAAGACACCTGGGGTTCAGCCACCCTTCCCATTTTTCCTCTTAATTTTGTGCAGCCACAGAAATGGGAGATGGACTGAACCTTTGTTGTAAACTTTTCTCCTGCATGACAAATTCTTGTCTAATTTATGACCTGAGTTACAGCTACACGAGCTAACAGATACTGTATCATGATATTTTCAATTATGTTTGAACATCCATGGCCATTCTGCAAACTGCAAACAATTTCAGTCATAAATTAGGCCAGGCAAAATTGAAGAACAAATCAAAGGAAAAAAGGTTGCTAAAGTACAGGGAGGGACTAACTGCTCCTCTTTAGATCTACCATCTTATGGCATGGACACATCCAGTAGGACAATCTCCCATCGAGATAGAAGAGCATAGAAAAGCCAGACTAAGTCTCACTAATGAGGAGGCGTACAGAGACTTGCTATAAAGAGGGATTCAGTCTCTCTCTGGCTTTTGTCTCTTCTTGTCTTTGCCATTTTGATTTACCTGGCTGAAATCAAACAAACATTCAAGTGAGGTGAAATTCTTTGTGGGAAGAGTGGCTCGGGGAAACTCTAACAAGGGGACAGAAAGCACAGAAGTGAACTGGAAATGCAGAAAACACATTGCACTTCTTGCGTTCCTTGTGTGCCAGGAAGATGGGACCTGTGCTGCACTCAAACATGCTGACACAAAGGGCAGTTTTAAAATCAGCCTAGTGAAGTGGTTCCAGGAACTTTATTTTTGCTTAGTCTTGACCTCTGTTAATACATAGACCTCCAAGTTACCAACCTAAGTCACTGGCAATTGGTTTGCTTTCCTTAGTCACCCTTCTAAGACCACTTAGACCCTCAGGCTCTAGAATATTTCTGAACCAGACTTCTAAACTGTTCTGGTATCTGGCAGTACTTGTGTATAGTCCTATCCAATTTCAGCTAAAGTGCCCTTCACAAAGTCCATTCATTTCTGTTCTGTATAGGGTGGTGTTTGTGAGAGCTGCTGGGAATAAAATAGCATGTTATATGCCCACAAAAGTTCATCTACCCTAAAGCAGCAGGTGCTTACCAGTTTTGCTATTTGCAAACAACTCTTCAGATTAACTTCAAGCAGATGTTAACAACAGTCTGTCTTTACACAAAGAGTATTAAGAGCCATTTGGACTAGGAAAGGCGGTTATTTGCAAGCCGCCTTTCTTCCTCTTTTATTTCAGCTGTTGCCTCGGTAACAGCTGCTGTTCTCAGTGCCGTGGTGTCTATAGGCATCATGTCAAGTTACGCTGATAGCCGACTGTTCCCATGAACATGTTGGTGTGGTCATTTTTCCACCGTTTGCAAATACGCCCCTTGTAAGAATTATCGGGGGGAATTGATAACCTCAGCCTTATTTTGTGAAAACGTCAGACAAAAATAAGCCATTAGCTTTTAACCTGCTAGCTTTGTATCATAGTGAACTTGATGTGCTTTAAGTCTTGCTCCTGGAGCTTTCTGAAATGGGGGAAAATGTAATTCTCTGAGTAAGGTCCTGTCAAGAACAGGAGATGCAGGCCCTGCGGCCATGTAGTAACAGTTCTGTATGGGATGGAACATTCTGGAAATTTCCTCCCAGGGAAAAAAGTTGTCTTCAACCTCCAACTAAACCACGGTCTGAATGGAATGACAGGGATGGGTCAGGGTTTGCTCCTTGCTGGACATCCCAGAGCCATCTGCAGAGGGCCTCCCATTGACTGTGGCTCAGTAGCTTCCTCCAGTGACAGCACCTGAAGCTGCTCATGGAGCTGGGTCTGA